TCCCCTGGCCTCCCCCAGCTGCCTCCTGCCCTCTGCCTCCGAGGTTTGTCCCCTGACCTCCCCCAGCTGCCTCCTGCCCTCTGCCTCCGAGGTTTGTCCCCTGACCTCCCCCACCACCTCCTGCACTCCGCTTCCAGGGCTCATCCCCTGACCTTCCCCTGAAACCTCAAAATCCTCCCTGAATTTCACACTTATTAAAACCTTGAACTAACCAGCTCCCATGCCTGACATGCCTACAGCAGTGTCCCCAACTGGAGCCCTTTGAATTCAAGTGACATGATGTCACCGAGCTTTGGACTGAGAGTTCGTATAAATACACACACTAAATATAACACTCCAGCAGCAAGATGAAGGGTCCTGAAAAGCATTCGAATGAGTTCCTTAAGCATTGTTTTAGTGCCAAGAAATATTCCCTGCTTTTAATTAAGGAAGTTCTGATGAGAGAAATCCAAAACTTTGCTGGGTTTTAAAAACAAGATGTAGCTAGAGAACAACAACATGGCAGTTCTGTGTGAACACTGAGTTCAGGCCTGCCAGAGGTCTGCACGCGAGCCATTCTGAGAGGGTGGAGCCGGAGCAGGACGGGCGGGGGGGGGGGGGGGGGAGACATGGACCTGGAACTGAGCACTGATGCTGGGGGGTTTCTTCTTCTTGTGGAGGTGGAGCAGGGACTTGGTGATGCGGTCCTGCAGCGTCAAGCCACTCAGGTACTTCAGGGACTTGATGTCCAGGAGGTGCTGGGGGGGGGGGTCACAGTGAGTCAGGGGCGGACAGACAGCCCATCAGCGTGGCTTTCTCTACGGCACTACTCAGAGATAGCCTCACCTTCGGAAGGCATGGCTTCGTCTTGTAGTTCCTGTTCCGCCTATTCAAAAAAACACAACGTTAAGTTTTTGGAAGGTAAATGGAAGGAAATTATTTTGAGTTCACTTTGTGAGGCTGTGGGGGGGTGCCCTTATTCTGAAAAGAGGGAAATTCTTATTCTTATTCAACAAAAAAAAATCACTCAACTTTTGATGGGTGACTAAATGCATGAAGAATGGAAGAATGTAGTTTATATGAGGGCCAGACGTGAGTATTCGGGGTGCTATAAAAGCTAACGTCAAACAGCAAAGAGAGCAGAGCCGAGAGACATTCCCAGAATGCCATGCACTCACATGAGGATGCCATGGGCTCTCTCCAGCAGCTTGCTGCTAGTGGAGTTGAGGAAGATGCCATCATCTTCCAGCAGAGAACCCGAGGACAGTCGGCTTTGCCTGCTGGGCCGGCCGTTCCATCTCACACCCAAAGTGTCCCTGACGTGCAACAAGGGCAGACGCCTGTCCTCAGTCCACATCCACATCTACATACAGTGCTGCTTGAAAGTTTGTGAACCCTCCAGACATGGTCACTGTTTTTGTGAAAAACATTAAAATAACGTTATTACACATACATCCAAATCCCAATTTGTAAAGCACACCTTCCAAATAATGGACACACAAAAAGATATTTTTATTATTTAATTCAACAAAGGCGGTTTATTTCACAAAAACTGAAAATTTAACGTGTGCAAAAGTATGTATTAGTAGCTTGTGGCTCCTCCTTTTGCAGCCATTACTTCAACTAAACATCTTCTGTAACCACTAACCAGTCTCACATCTGCTTATGGGGATTTTTGCTCACTCCTCCTTGCAGAACTCAGCCAATTGAGAGAGGTTGGAGGGACATCTGGCATGTACAGTACCAACTTCTTCAGGTCTCGCCACAACATTTCAATTGGGTTAAGGTCCAGACTTTGGCTGGGCCAACCCAGAGTGCGAATCCTCTTTCTCTGAAGCCATTCCATTGTAGTTTTGCTGGAATGCTTTGGGTCATTGTCTTGTTGCATAATCCATTTTCATCCCAGCTTCAACTCCCTGACTGATGGCAGGAGATTCTGGTCAAGAATTTGTTGATATGCCGAAGAGTTCCTGGTTCCTTGGATAATATGGAGTAGTCCAGGTCCAGAGGCAGAAAAGCAGCCCCAGATCTTCACATTTCCACCACCATACTTCACTGTTGGGAGGGGGTTCTTTTCTTCATATGCCATGTTGGCTTTTCTCCAAACATGTGGGTTTTGATTGTGACCAAATAATTCTATTTTGGACTCGTCTGTCCAGAGAATGGACTTCCAGAGAATGGACTTCCAGAAGGCCTTCCAGTGCAAGCAGCACTGTACATACATATAAATACTGCACATGCATACACACATACAGACAACCAGACATACATACATATACACAGACAGACTGACACATACATACCTACATACATCCATCCATTTACCCCGAGGCTCTGTCCAAGGCAGTTATACAATTGAGGAACAGCTACAGAAGCTAATACATAGATTGTGTCTTCAAGTGAAACCTGTTCATCAAGCTTTCACCCAACGACCGGCTTCCGCACAGCGGCCGGCTTCCGCACAGCGGTCAGCTTCCGCACAGCAGGCCGTCTTCCAAAGCTTCTGCATGGCAGCCCACTTCCACGGTTTCCTCACGGCGGCTGACTTCCTCACATAAGGAGAGCCCGTTTCCGTAAAGAGGATGTCACAATACCTGGTGATTTAAAGACCTAGGAACAGGACTGCAGATACGCTCACTTCCCTGAAGTTACAGGGGCACAGGATCATTTGGAGTTCACAAATTGCAGGGCCCAGGTTAAGTTCCGGAAGAGCTTGGTCTCTACCTGGCCCCACAGGCCGGGGGGGGGGGCGGCAGAGACCCAACGGAGCTCCACCAACAGAAGTCCCTCTTGCAGCCTTCAGGTCAGTGTCAGTTCTGACCAGAGACAAATGTGACCAATAAGCTATTCTAAATGTAGCCTAACGATGCTTTTGCCCTCAATCCCACTCTACTCGCCCTATGGAGTCAGGCCCAACCTTCCTCATGCACAAACAGTTAGATTAAGCCTTGCTGGCTGCAGCCGATGGTGGGAGGAAACACGCAGGACTGGAAACAGCCACTGGATTTCTGGTGGGAACACGAGACACGATAAAGCCCCAGGCGCCCCCACCACTGCGCTCACCCCCCTGAACTGACATTCTGAGCTGCCAATGGAAAATCCCACAAGTAAAAACAAGTGCCAGCCACAGCATAAGCCAGCAGTTCAATTTCAGAAGGACTCTACTCAGATTCTACTCCGGGATTAATTGGGTTTTTTTTTCCTCTCTGCTGGTGCTAATGTTGCAAGTTGAGGCGTTTTAAATACATTTTTCTAATAGTGGTGGGGGAGGAGGGGCAGGAACGATCCTCTTGCTGCTGCTTCACGGCACTGACGCAGACCTCTGCCTCGCTGCTCCCTGGTGAGTGATCGCTCCGTTTCTGAGCCGGCAGGGAACTAGGAGACCAAGCCAATCTCACCATCCTTCATTCAAAAGTTCAGATTTTGTTCCCCTTTTGTTTTGTTGTTTTCCATATCATGCAGAAATTCTGCTACCCATCCATCAAAATTAAATATTAATTATGCTGGCTCTTCATCGTCACGTCAGTCCAGTGCAGCACGTTCAAATCACACATTTACACACAGACAACATTATTTATTGATCTCATGGTGAACCTCCAGGTTTGTTTCAAACAGCTAACAATCTTAATACTGACAAATTCAATGAAATGCAGCCCCAAGGACAGGGACAGATCTGTAACTCCTTGAGTGAACATACGTGAGGCACCTGGTTGGCCGAGAGGTACTAGCGGGTCTAATGTTAGGGGTCTGATTCTCGGGCTGCTGCTGGGTAAGCCTCTCATGCCGTAGGAATGACCCGATGGTTCCTGTGGTTACAGGATATTCATCAGCCGCCCCACTGCCTTTATGGACGCATAACAGTGGCCTTAGATCATGCACAGGAAGCAGGCGGTAACACCCCCACCCCCCCGAAAGTGAGTGAGGCTGTATATCACGCTGGGCACTTTTTTATTAATGGCCCGTGGCCGATGTGAACAAAAGCACCGCTGTATTGCCTCCCCGTGCCACTGGCCCCCAGAGCAGACAAGGCAGTAATCTGCAAAGCGCGTAGTAATTAAAGAAGTATGGGACTCCGGGAGTCATGTGTGCCTTGGGGGCCGATGGGGGTCACTGCTCACCCAGCGAGGTCACAGGGAATTGGACGCAAAGTCCGGCCACCACACCACAGGCCCATACTCAGACGTGGCATGCAGCACAAACAGATTTCTGCCTCGGTGGAAAACTAAAAGGCCCTCAACAGAATTTGGACTTCCTGGCAGATCTACAAATCAGACAAACGGAGGCATTGCCTAGAAGGCCCAATCACGGCACTGGGCACACCCCCAGTCTATGTGTGGCAGACGTGAAGCAGACCAGGGATCCCTACCTTGGTGCTTTCTCACTGAGCGGGTTGGCACTCTGCAGGCTCGACAGTGGGCTTCGGGGGGTCTTCCGGGTGATGCCTGACAGCGCAACAAGAGTGCACATCATAGGGTGATCTTAACAGCCAATGGCATCAGGTGATATTCAGGGCTGTCTGGCTTTGGGTTATCACATATTAACATATATAAAGATGGTGCAGTTAGAGTGAATTAGTTTTCCTTTCCTTGTTGTTATTGAGTACATGAGAAATAACGTAGAGAGGGACCGATGCAGCTTTATATAACAACGTTAAATAAAGGTTTTACACAGAGCCAAACTGCTGGCTGTCAGGGACCGTTAAACGGTGATCTTACATCTGAAGTTAGTACAGGACGCCAAATGAACTTGCAGCCATGAGGATAGCGATGTACATTGTGGAGTGTTAGACTGATGCAGTCTCACAGCATCTGTAAACTGCTAAGATTCTTGACACTTTTTGAAAGGATTACAAAAAAATGTAAAAAAAAAAACACTGCCACACACATACATGATCAGCCTTGACATTAAAGTAAACAAGCTGAACCATAATCCATGGCTGCTGCATTTTAGGGGAGTGACTGAAACAGGAGATCATTGTGAATAGTTGCATTACAATCCAGGCCCACTGAATCCACTTCCTCAACATCGATCTTCCGCCCCTTTTAACCTCATCACAGTTTGGGTGGGGCTATTCTGTGTGGCATAGGACCCAAAGCTAGGAGAGACCCTGGGTGGGACTCCAGTCCAGCTCCTCTCCTACTCAATACAATAGTTTCCGTCTACAGTGAGCATACAGTATGGCTATAAAGAGCCATTTTACTATAGTGTGACTGTAACAGAGCCATTATACTGCAACACGACTGTAAAAGAGCCATTTTACTCCAGTACCACTGTAACAGAGCCATTTTACTCCAGTACCACTGTAACAGAGCCATTTTACAACAGTACCACTGTAACAGAGCCATTTTACTCCAGTACCACTGTAACAGAGCCATTTTACAACAGTACCACTGTAACAGAGCCATTTTACTCCAGTACCACTGTAACAGAGCCATTTTACTCCAGTACCACTGTAACAGAGCCATTTTACATCAGTACCACTGTAACAGAGCCATTTTACAACAGTACCACTGTGACAGAGCCATTTTACTCCAGTACCACTGTAACAGAGCCATTTTACAACAGTACCACTGTAACAGAGCCATTTTATTCCGGAATAATGATACATCAAAGACGTTCAAGTTAAAATGAATCCTTCAAAGAGCATCTTCAGCTTGTAGATTTCACGTGAGTCATTTTAACTGAATACAAGTAATCCTTTGTGCATCTGCTGTGTGTCTTTGGCTCTTTGTAGTAACAACAAACACATAGTACTGCTGCAGTAGGCTGCTATGAACACTGATAACAAAAATGCTCATTGTAGAAATACCCCTTCCAAAGAGACGCTGATTAAAGTGATGTCAGGACTGTTTGGAAAGAGACATACGGTCCACAGAGAGTCCCCCCCCCCGTGGGGTCAAGCCTCCACCCACCCAGATGTGACACAGCTGTGAGACTTGATGGCAGACAAACACTAACTCCAGAGGTCATGCACAGGACTGCAGACGAGGCCAGTGCGTCATCACATGCGACCAGTGGCATGCAGCATGGCCCGACATGCGATGAGTGGGATTAGTGGGTGGGGGGGGAAATAGGTGCAGCCAGCGGGGGAGCCTGTGTGGCATGCAGGGCGGCCGCTCTCACGCAGACAGCAGCGTATTGGGGTGAGCGATGGAAGGAATGGGGGGCGTGGAAGCCGGCTACCATCCACATCAAATCACCCTTGGGAGGCCCGGATCGATTTGGGGGGGGGGGTGTAACAAATTGGGATCCCTGGGATCAATGTGGGGTATCAGAGGTGTTTTGCAAAAACAGCCAATTCAGCGCAAAGTGCCCATGGAAGGAGCTTGCCACTCTTAGATGCGAGCCGCCCAGCCTTGAAGGACGTTTACATGGCTGGCATCACCGTGGCTTCTGGCCAGACAATTGCCCACAAAAAAGCCAGCAGTCAGTGCCGAGTCAGGGGGCGTGGTTCTCATCTGGAGCTTGGAGAATGTGGGGCAGGGGGAGTGTGTGCTGGGCCTGGGAGCGGGAACAGGGGGGATGCAGTCAGTCGGAGCCCTCGCCCTTTTCCCCGGGTGCGTGCAGAGAGCAGTGAGGGATTGTGGGTTTTCAGCCTTACTGTACTTCTCCTCTTTGCACCTCTGCAGGATGGCTAAGCTCCTCTGATGCACAGGGTGCTGAAGAAAGCTAAAACTATCCACACTTTTCAAAACTGCACATGGAGCAGCATCATCATGCCCTTTGGAAAGCAAAAAAAGAAATAAACAACAACAGAGAAACAAAATAAGAAAAACAAGAGAGAGAGAGAGAGAGAGAGAGGAGAGAGATTATACAGAGAGAAACGACAGAGCATTCTATAAGGGAAATGTGTGCAAGACATACAGGAAACAGTTATGTTCACCTATTACACTGCTGGCCTGGCTTAAAACTTCCCATTCATTACAGTTCACTTGACATCATGCCTGATCGATCGTGCTCTGATTTCACCAGACAGTCTGACTTGCCTCTGCCCATTCGTCTGACACAAATGCTCTTTTTGGCCAAGTGATGCATCACACCAGGATAGTTTTCACATTAAAAAAAATTGCCTCATGTGAATATGAGTGCATCTGTGACCTGTGCCATTCTGGACAATGCAAACGTGCCTCTAAAATATACTGAAACTCCAGCAATGACCTTTGGACGGCTGGAGACAGAGGGACGTTTCGCATCTCTGCAGCTACATTCACTGGCCCGGACGCTGCGGCTCAGAGGGCAGACGAGAGGCCACTGCGTGACAGAGTCCGAAACGGCCCGAAGCTTTGGGGAGCTCAAGGAAACGAGACAGCATGCGGCTACAAAGGCCCCCGAAGAAGCTGCAGTCTGCTGGGGGGGTGGCCGCAGAAGTTCTGCGGGGTTTTGAGGCAGGCAAGTGGAGTCAAGAGAGGCCCACCTCGACAGCCGCAGAGGCTGGGTACGCCCGTGTACACACACAAGCTCGTGCACACGCCCGTGTACACACACAAGCTCGTGCACACGCCCGTGTACACACACAAGCTCGTGCACACGCCCGTGTACACACACAAGCTCGTGCACACGCAGGCACATAGAGAACACACTCTCTCTGGCACGCTTTGGACAGCTCATGTCAAAGCGTGAAGTGAATCACATCCAAGGAAAGAACAATCTGATCGGAGGCAGAATTAGGCAAACTGAGATTGTATGGTGGCAAACTGGTATTGTATGGTGGGAATAATCCTTCCACTGGTTTTGGACAGGACATTTTCTCCTCAATGTGTCCCGTATATAAACTTCCATGTGTATAAAAAAGCCCTCTATTTGGCTGTGATGCTGATTCTTGTATCAATCGCTGGCATGGTGGTGCGGTGGTTTAGGAACCACATATGAAAAAGCAGCATTGAATAGAGCATTTTGCTGTAATAGTAAGACAGAAGTAATTAAGCTTAATGAAATACAAGTACAGAGTATCATCAGGCAGCATGTCGGCCAGTGAAAAGTGGGCAAAATGTGGATCTGCAGGGAGAAAAACAAATGATATTCTCTTTGTTCACAGTCAGGCACCAAAAGCGACAGAGACATGGCGCTGCCCTGAAACCTCTCTGTGTAACAGCATGCCAGCCTTTCCGGAAGGACGTAGCTGTGAGGAGCCTGCAGGCTGGGACACGGCCCCAGAACAGGGTGCCGGAGCAGATTAAACAATGCAGAAGTCGGAAGTCAGGCTTAAGCAATGCTGTACGCAGTCAAAAAAATATGATTTAAGTTTGAGTTTCGCTGGCTGCTCAGTAACAGCCCCCCCCCTCCCTAAGGGTGTGTGGGCCGTGATGCCAAAGCGCTGAATGCTCGCCAACACTCACCAGGCTTCTTCCCTGTGAACCTGCGGCCCGCCTCCCGGAAGGACACCACGGCACGGAAGTAGGCGCGCAGCACAGCCCAGCGGAACGTGGCCACTGGGTCGATACCCATGAGGCCGCAGATGAAGGCATTTCTGCTGCTCTTCAGCAGGGCTACAATGTCAGGCCGCATGTGGTCTGTGTTCTTCTCCCTGAAGTCCTGTGGGCAAGACGGAGTGAAGGCATAAGGAGAGCATGGGGGGTGTAAAGAGGGTGTAAGGAGGGCATAAGGAGGGTGTAAGGAGAGCATGGGGGGTGTAAGGAGGGTGTAAGGAGGGCATAAGGAGGGTGTAAGGAGAGCATGGGGGGTGTAAGGAGGGTGTAAGGA